CCTACTACCTCCCTCAAGGCCTGAATACACTAAAGGCATCAGAGTTCATCTGATCTTGGGAGCTAAAAAGGATCTGCTCTGGTTAGTACTTGGGTGGGATACCACCTACCCATACAAGATGCTCTAAGCCAAGCTGTGGCCCTCCAGCTGTTTTGGCCCCCAACTACCAGAATTCCTTAGCATTGAACAAGCTGGCTAGGGTTTCTGGGAGCTGGCAGCCCAAACAGCTGGAGGGCCGCAGTATGAGGATGCCTACTCTAAGCCACTGGTTCTCAACCTGTGGGTCCCCAGGTGTTTCGACCTACAACTCCCAGAAATCCCAGGATTTCTGGGAGTTGAAGGCCAAAACACCTGGGACCCACAGGTTGAGAACCACTGCTCCACTATATTTCCTTGGAAGAAGGAACAGGTCAAACCACGTCTGAGTACTCCTTGCCTAAGAAAACCCTATGAAATGCATGGTGTCGCCATAAGTCAACGGGTAACTTGAAGGCACGTACACATTACATCCATCCCTTCTGATCCAGCTATTTCCAAGTTGGAAGAGAGTTGAGGAGTGCCATCTAAAAGTGCCCAAAAGAAACATATGATGTGCCATACCACAATGCCTGAAGGGAATGCACATGATGTTCATAAATCACAGTTCCTCATAGAGCAGCCACCACAGCTCTGTTGGTATGGAGCATTTCCTCAAAATGATTATAGAGGGAGAAGAAGGATGTGATCAGGTTTTCAGTTTCTCAAACCAGCAGATCTCCATATAGGAGGCCTTATGGACTCCTTTCACTCATACTGTTGGGTGTTTGTTTGTTTTTTTGTTGTGTCAGGAGCGACTTGAGAAACTGCAAGTCATTTAAAGGTAAGGTAAAGGTTTTCCCCTGACATTAAGTCCAGTCGTGTCCGACTCCGTTTTGTCTTATGTTTGTTTGATGTTTTGTCTTATGTCTGTTATAACAGGCTGTATTTTAAATTTAATTTTAGTTGTTAAGTTATAATTTGTGTTTATATGTTGGGTTATTCAAATTTTGTTAGTATGGATGTATTGTTGTTGTATTCGGGCATTGAATGTTTGCCTTTTATGTTTGGAATCTTCCCTGAGTCCCTTCAGGGAGATAGAGCAGAATATAAATAAAGTTTATCATCATCATCATCATCATCATCATATTATTATTATTATTATTATTATTATTATTATTATTATTCTATTGGTGCTCATCTTCATTTCTAAGCTGAAGAGCCGGCGTTGTCCATAGACACCTCCAAGGTCATGTGGCCAGCATGACTGCATGGAGCGCCGTTACTGTCGAGTACGAAGAGCCAATTTCAGTCCCATTTGTTCCTTCTGTACTAAAAAAATATATAATGTCATCACTCTCTGTGTCACAGTGATGAACCTTTCCAAGCAGATAACAATATACCTCTTCCATCAAGCATGCCTCGGATACAAACCTCTGGACTTGAGACCCCCCCCCCCCCCCCCCCCCCCAAGTGGCAGTGGAGGAGTGGCATTTGGCACATGCTCACTGCTTTTGCTCTTTCACACTCGAGAAGGCGAACCCTGGGATCGAGGGCTGGCCAAAGAAAACACAGCCCCAAGTGAGCCTCACTGCTTCCTTCCCCCACCCCACATTTCCTTTTTTTCCCTATGCTTATGTGTGTGGCAGAATGGTTTGAGGATTGAACTAGAACTCTGGAGGTGAGGGTTCGAATCCCTGCTTGATACCAACTGAGTGACTCAGGCATTGTGAGGGCCTCATCACACTTGAGCATTTTCCCACTTTAAATGCTATGACTGCCTCTTGCAGATTTCTGGGGTTTGTAGTTGGGGGGGGGGGAGCTTCAAACGGCCTTGGGCCTCCCTAAACTACAAACCCCAGAATTCTTCAGGAGATAGTCACAGCATTTAAAGTGGATTAAAGTGGATAAATGCTCACGGGTGTTGAGGCCCTCAAAGTCAGTCACTCAATAGGTTTCCATGGTCAAGTAGGGATTCGAACCCTAGCCTCCAGAGGTCTAGTTCAATCTACAAACCATTATGTCTCTCACACACAAGAGTTGGAGAAAACTCTGGGACGGGTTCACCATAGGGCCCTCATCCGTAGGAAATGACACCAAGGCACAGAACAACACTTCAACTCAAACCAGAAAGAGAGAGGTGGCAACTACACTGCTATATAATCCCAATGATCCAGACAGATTTTTTTTCATGTCAGGAGCAAGCAAGTCACTTCTGGTGTTAGAGAACTGGCCATCTGCAAGGATGCCCAGGGGACGTCCAGATGTTTTACCAACCTGTGGGAGGCTTCTCTCATATCCCGGTATGGGAAGCTGGAGTTGACAAATGGGAGCTCACCCAGCTTCTCGGATTTGAACCACTGCCTTTTGGTCAGCAGTGCTACTGGCACAAGGGTTTAGCCCAGTGTTTCTCAACCTTCCTAATGTCCCGACCCCTTAATACAGTTCCTCGTGTTGTGATGACCACCAACCATAAAATTATTTTCGTTGCTACGTCATAACTGTAATTTTGCTACTATTATGAATCCTAATATAAATATCTGATACGCAGGATGTATTTTCATTCACTGGACCAAATTTGGCACGAATACCCAACATTGCTGGGGTTTGTGGTGGTGGTGGGGGGTGGGGGGCTGATTTTGTCATTTGGGAGTTGTAGTTGCTGGGATTTACAGTTCACCTACAATCAAAGAGCATTCTGAACTCCCCCAGCAATGGAATTGAACCAAACTTGGCAAACAGAACTCCCATGACCAACAGAAAATACTGGAAGGGTTTGATGGGCATGGACCTTCAGTTTTGGAGTTGTAGTTCACCTACATCCAGAGAGCACTGTAGACTCAAACAATGTTAGATCTGGACTAAACCTGGCACAAATATTCAATATGCCCAAATGTGAAAACAGGTGGAGTTTGGGGAAAATAGACCTTGACATTTGGGAGTTGTAGTTGCGGGGATTTATAGTTCACCTACAATCAAAGAGCATTCTGAACACCACCAACGATAGAATTGACCCAATCTTGACACACTGAATTCCCTGACCAACAGAAAATACTGGAAGGGTTTGTTGGGCATTGACCTTGAGTTTTGGAGTTGTAGTTCACCTACGTCCAGAGAGCCCTATGGGCTCAAACAATGATGGAACTGGAGCAAACTTGGCATGAATACTCAATATGCAGAAATGTTAACACTGGTGGAGTTTGGGGGAAATAGACCTTGACATTTGGGAGTTGTAGTTACTGGGATTTATAGTTCACCTACAATCAAAGAGTATTCTGAACCCCACCAATGAGAGAATTGAGCAACAGAAAATATTGTGTTTTCTGAAGGTCTTTGGAGACACCCCCTGGCGACCCCCCCAGGGCTCTGCACCCCCACTTATTTAACCCATTGCGCCACCGGAGGCTCCTTATCCAAGCAGATAATCCACATGGTCTGCTTTGAAGGGGATTATGTATATCTGTATATATTTCAGATTTCAATATTAATGTCAAAATATGTAGTATGATTTTACATAGGATTTGTGCTACATTAGAACAGTCAAGACAAATATCACTTAAGTAAAATAAACATTAAATAACTGGAAAAATAAAATAAGGTGTAAACACTAAACTAATCTGGGAATCTGCTATTGCAACACATCCAATGAAGTGGTTTAAAACCAGTATAAAAAAAAGATTAGGACTAATTACGTTCCAGTCTACTTGGAACCCATATAATCCAATTCAAAACAGATACACTGGATTTTGTATGGCAGTGCAGAAAGGGCCTGGGTCAGGATGGATGCCGTTTGGGATTGCTTCAGCTGGCAGGGCTCAAAGATATGAGATCGTGGAAGTTATAGCTTGACTAAGGTCTTTAGTGTTCCCTGCTAAACGGAAACTTCTATAGTTCCACAGGATGGAGCCATGGGCACTTAAACTACATTCAAGAGAGATATTGACAAGTTGGAATGTGTCCAGAGGAGGGAGACTAAAATGAGCAAGGGTCTGGAGAATGAGCCCTATGAGGAGCGGCTTAAAGAGCTGGGCATGTTTAGCCTGAAGAAGAGAAGGCTGAGAGGAAACATTATAAGTAAAGGTAAAGGTTTCCCCTGACATTAAGTCTAGTCGCATCCGACTCTGAGGTGTGGTGCTCAACTCCATTTCTAAGCCAAAGAGCCAGCATTGTCCGTAGACACCTCCAAGGTCATGTGGCCGGCATAACTGCATGGAACACTGTTGGCTTCCCACCGGAACGGTACCTATTGATCTACTCACATTTGGATGTTTTTGAACTGCTAGGTTGGCAGAAGCTGGGGCTGACAGTGGAAGCTCACACCGCTCCCCGGATTCGAACCTGCGACCTTTCTGTCAACAAGCTCAGCAGCTCAGTGCTTTAAACCACTGAGAGGAAGTCATAGGGAGGAGAGAGCAAGCTTCCCTGGAGACTAGGACGCGGAGCAATGGCTTCAAACTACAAGAAAGGAGATTCCATCTGAACATTAAGGAAAAACTTCCTGACAGTGAGAGCCGTTCAGCAGTGGAACTCTCTGCTCTGGGATGTGGTGGCGGCTCCTTCTTTGGAGGCTGAGAGGAGACATGATAGCCATGTATAAATATGTGATAGGAAATCATAGGGAGGGGGGAGCAAGCTTGTTTTCTGCTTCCCTGGAGACTAGGACGGGGAGCAATGGCTTCAAACTACAAGGAAGGAGATTCCATCTGAACATTAAGAAAGAACTTCCTGACAGTGAGAGCCGTTCAGCAGTGGAACGCTCTGCTCTGGAGTGTGGCGGCGGCTCCTTCTTTGGAGGCTTTTAAACAGAGGCTGGATGGCCATCTGTCGGGGGTGATTAGAATGCCATTTCCCTGCTTCTCGGCAGGGGGTTGGTCTGGATGGCCCATGAGGTCTCTAGGATTCTAGATCTACAGTGTGGACGCCCCCAAAGGGAGAAGGAGGGAAGGGAAGGGGAAGGGCAGGCGTGGGTCCCGACCGAGGCCAACCTTGGAGCAGCGGGGACTGGGAGAGCTGGCTCCGATCCTCCGGGAAGGAGTCGAGGAGGCGCTTGAAGAGGCGGCCCAGGTCGGCGTAGCTGCGGTGCAAGTAGAGGACGTTGCGATCCGACCACTCGGTGCGGATCTCGAAGAACTGCTCCTCGTCGCCCCGCCGGTTGACGATCAGGCGCCGGATGCCGTTCACCCAGCAGTCCCGCACGAACATGTTCACCAGCGAAGTGCCTTCAAACACGGCCGAGGCCATCCCGCCCGGCAAAGGCGGAGGGCGCGCATACCACGTCGCCGCCCCGGGGAAAAGCAAAGAGGAAGCAAGGGAAGGAGGGAGGGAGGGAGGAAGGGGGGGTTCCCTCTCCGTCCGCTTGCCTATCCGTCGAGGGGCGCGCCCAGGGAGGCCGCTTGGAAAGGAGGGACGGAGGGAGGGAGAGAGATCTGTCTCCTCCTCTTCTTCTTCCTCCTCCTCTTCCTCCTCCTCTTCTTCTTCCTCCTCCTCCTCCTCTTCTTCCTCCCCTCCTTTCCCTTCCTCTCCTATTCTTCTGCTTCCTCCTCTTCCTTTCTTCTTCTCATCTTCTTCCTCCTCCTCCTTCTTATCTTCTTCCTCCCCTCCTTTCCCTCTTCTTCTCTTCTTCTTTCTTCTTCCTCCTCCTCCTCCTTCTCCACTGACAGTTGCGCCTCTTCTGGAGCCGTCGAGCCACTGGCTGGGTGGGTGGGCCTCTCTCCCCAGACATACACTCCCCATACACCAGGCATGGGCAAATTTCGGCCCTCCAGTTGTTTTGGACTTCAACTCCCACCATTCCTAACAACCGGTAGGTAAAGGTAAATGTCCCCCCCCCCCCCCCGGCATGAAGCCCAGTCGCGTCCGACTCTGGGAGTTGGTGCTCATCTCCATTTCCAAGCCGAAGAGTTGTCCCTAGACGCCTCCAAGGTCATGTGGCCGGCATGACTGCATGGACAGTCTGTATGCGAATATGAAGTGTGTATATGTGGAGTGTGTATACTGAGAGAGTGTCTATGGAAAATGTGTTTGTGGGCAGCAGGTCTGTAGCCAGGGGGATAGTTTAGGGTTTCAACCCCCCCCCCCCCGGCATGTAGCCAGGGGGGGCTTGGGGGCTTCAGCCCCCCCCCCAATTCTCATGGTGGTTTGCAAAAAGGCCTTACTGGTGCATTATTTAAACTGTTATGTTTATTCATATCATGATCTGATCACCATACTCAATATATCCCATATGCATGGGGGTATTGGGGTAATGATACAAAAGGTTTGCTAGGCTAGACCCTCTTTCACTCAGACTCAGCCCCCCCGAATCAAACTCACCCCCCCCCGAATCAAAATCCTGGCTACGGGCCTGCCCCCCCTCCCCCCGAAATTTTTCAAGTTAAAAAAAACTTGGTTTACTCATGAATTTTAACTGGTTAACCAAATCCCCATGCTAAGTCTATGAGACGCAAAAAATTAAGAGTCCCTCCAGAACTGCAAGCACTATCTCAAGCAAATATTGACAATTTATTCACACTGTCATTACTTGCAGCAATAGCCGATGTAGTGAAGCAACCAAGTTGGGGATGTGTGTGTTGAATGCTCTCATTAAGGAGGCCAGACTTGGTGGAGGTGGTTGACAGAGGCGGAGCTGCAGGCTATTGAAGGCTGCTCTGCCCCCTACTGTGCTCTTTGCTTCAGCTTGACCCTAACCCCCCCCCCCCAAATTTTCAACCCTCCCTTAAATTTTTTTCTGGCTATGGCCCTGGTGGAGTGTGTATACTGAGAGAGTGTCTATGGAAAATGTGTTTGTGGGCAGTCTGTATAGGAAGAATGTGTCCTGTGGCAAGAGTGGCGTGCGGAGAGTGTATATGTCCAGTGTGTATGCAGAAAGATATTCCATCTGAACATTAGGAAGAACTTCCTGACTGTGAGAGCCGTTCAGCAGTGGAACTCTCTGCCCCACAGTGTGGTGGAAGCTCCTTCTTTGGAAGTTTTTAAGTAGAGGCTGGATGGCCATCTGTCAGGGGTGCTTTGAATGCAATATTCTTGCTTCTTGGCAGGGGGTTGGACTGGATGGCCTGTGAGGTCTCTTCCAACTCTATGATTCTATGATTCTAAGTGTGATGTGAAGAATGTGTCCTTCAAGTGTGTATGGGGAGCAGAGGCGGCCCTAGGTAATTTTCAACAGTAAGCAAACAGTATTTTTGCGCCCCCCCCCCCCCAACCAATCATTGATATATATTTTCTGTTCGTCATGGGAGTTCTGTGTGCCATATTTGGTTCAATTCCATCATTGGTGGAGTTCAGAGTGCTCTTTGATTTAAGGTGAACTATACATCCCAGTAACTACAACTCGCATATGTCAAGGTCTGTTTTCCCCCAAGAGTGCCTCAAGAGCGCCCCTGGGCAAAATCAACTATACTGCAAATGCTTACTTTGCGTAATGGGTTGAGCCGCCCCTGATGGGGAGAGTGATTTGTGGAGAGAGTGTGGATTTGGAGGGACCATATATGGATGAAGAGTGTATATATGGCAAATGTGTATGTGAAAAGTCTATGTGGACAAATATGTGTATGCAGAAAGCGGGGTATATGGAGAGAGTGTATGTGAAGTGTGGATTTGGAAAGAGTGCTTATGCACTTTTAGCTTTCCACAGAAGATGTACCTATTGATCTATTCACATGTGAATGTTTTCGAACCTGTAGATTGGTAGAAGCTGGGGCTAACAGTGGGAGCTCACTCTGCTCCTTGGATTCGAACTTGTAACCTTTCAGTCAACAAGTTCGGCAGCTCAGTGCTTTAACCCACTGCACAATCATTGTGGGAGCTGAAGTCCAAAACACCTGGAGGACCAGAGTTTGCCCATGTCTGCCATACACATTCTTCACACACATACACACACTTTTCACTCACTCACATCGACACTCTCCTTATACATTACTCCCTCCACAGACACACTCTCCATAGACAGACACATGCTCTTCACAAACACTCTCTCCAGATCCATACTTCACATACACTCACTCCATATTACCCACTCTCTGCATACACACTTCACATACACACACTTGTCCACACAGACTTTTCACATACACATTTGCCATATATACACTCTTCATCCACGCATAGTCTCTCCATATGCACACTCTCTCCACAGATCACTCTCCCCATACAAACTTCAAATGCACGCTCTTCACATCACACTTTCTGCATACACACTGGACATATACACTCTCCCCACACACATACTCACTCCACACATCATTCTCGCCACAGACACACTCTTCTTATACAGACTGTCCACAAATTTATATTCCATAGACACTCTCTGTATACACACTCCACATATATACATTTTGAACACTTCACAAACACACACTTCACATATTGATTTTCCACATAATTCTCCACATCACACTTCACATACAAACTCTTCATATACGTAAACACACTCTCTACATACACATTCTTCACATACACACTCTCCATATACATATATACACACTCGTCACATACACCACTCACCACATACACACTTCACATACACACTTCATATAGACTATCCTCATATGCATTTTCCATACATACCCCATATATACACTCCACATATGCATTTTTCACCTATATATTCTTCACATTACACTTTCTTCATACACAATGTACATATACACTCTCTATATACACATATGCATACTCTCTCTATATATAAACACTTAACAAACACACTCTTCACATACCGACCTTCTACATACATTCGCCAAATCACATTTCACTTTACATACACATTCTTAATCTACATACACTCATACAATCATACTCTCTTCACATGCACACTCTTCACATACACACTATATATACCACACTCTCCACAGGTCACACTACATACACACTTCACATACACATTCTTCACATGCAGAACTGTCCACATAAACTCTGTCCACATAAACATTTCCTGTATACACTCTCCATATGCACACACACACACACACACTTTCTCTGCATGCACACATGTATGCACCACCTCTCAAAGCTCAAGGCCGAAGAATTTGGATTACATGTGTCTGATTTGTGACAGCTCTTCCTGGGGTGCCTTACATTGCAGATTGAATGCAGTATGATACCAGATGAATTCCCAAGGCTCAATGCTATAGGATCCTGAGAGTTATAGCTCAGCAATGTCTTCAGCCTTCTCTACCAAAGGGTGCCTCACCAAACTACAACTCCCAGGATTCCATAACTTTCAGCCATGGAAGTTCAAATGGTGTCAAACTGCATGGACTGTACAATGTAGATGCATTCCAACTGGGCAACTCTGGCTTGACTCCTTGACATTTGAATTCTCCCCTCTCTCCACACATTCTCTCAAAGCTCAAGGCCAAAGTAGTTGAGAAACTCCCGACCCATTTCTGGTGACCCTCCTTTTTTGTTTTTGTTTTGTTTTTGTCTTTTTTGGAGTGACCTTTGCAATCCCTCTCGCCTTCACATAACCAACACTTCGCTTTGGGGGGCAGGATGTCTGGAAGAAAAATGAGGTCCTCCTTCTGCCTTTAAGAAGTGGCCTGGACTGATATTAAGTAGAGATTGCCAGAATTTTTAAAAAAAAGTAGCAATGAGCTAATAGCAGTATGTAACAACATGTGAAACATTTTCTGTTCCTGATTTGAAAGTGTTATTTCCTGTTTGAATGTGCAGTTCTTACTTTGAAAATTGTTGTTCTACTCCAGAAACTTAGTTTTTGTGGTGGCCACAAACTATGTTGATTTGGTTGAGACTCTACGAGATATTCATTGCAAAAACTGTAGCAAAATGTGCTGCAGGATGCCCCACAAAAACAAGGTTCTTTCAGTTTAATAAACTTTCCCCATGTTTTTATGACAGAACCAATTAGGAATGTATAACCCAGGAACAAAAAATTGTGTTACATACTGTAGCCAGTGAAAATGGAGAGAGATTATTGGTCAGATCCAAGAGATGGGGAAGAGCAGTGCACCTACTTGCTGCTTTCCTCTCCTTCCCCCCTCTCTCTGATCCTGCACTAAGCCTCAAGCCGCCCCCGGAGGAAATACAAGCCGCTTTTTCCGGAGGAAAGTCCACTCATTGCCTCCCCAGTCTGGGTTTGTGTCCCAGATCTAGATGACAAAGCCTTTCCCTTTCTCTGCCAGAGAGTGCTGCTGGGGCCTCACCAAGCTACAACTCCCGGGATTCTATAGCTTTGAGCCATGGCAGTTAAAGTGGTGTCCAGTGGCATTCATTCTATAGTGTAAATGCACCTAAAGAAGCAAAGTTTGGCACAGTCCTCGTCCCGAATGAGGAAGGCGCATTGAAAGACAGACAGAGTGTCTCAATTCCCCTTCCTTTTTGCCTTCTCAGCCCCTTCAGCTGGAAGGGGAGGACAGCTCTGCAAAAGGACCAACCGGATCTGGGCTTACAAAGCAGGAAAATGGGAGAATTCATAACAT